CCAAAGGTGTTCTATCTGGTTGAGGTCAAGACTCTATGCAGGCCAGTCAAGTTCCCCCCCCCCAAACTCACTCATTCATGTCTTAATGGACCTTGCTTTGTGCACTGGTGTGCAGTCATGATGGAACAGGAAGGGGCAATCCCCAAACTGTTCCAACAAAGTTGGGAACATGAAATTGTCCAAAATGTCCTGGTATGCTGACGCTTAAGATTTCCCTTCACTGGAACTAAGGGGCCCAAGCCCAAGCCCAACCCCTGAGAAGCAACCCCACACCATAATCCCCCCTCCACCAAACTTTACACTTGGCACAATGCAGTCAGGCAAGTACCTTTCTCCTGGCAACCGCCAAACCCAGGCACGTCCATTGGATTGCCAGACAGAGAAGCATGATTTGTCACTCCAGAGAACACGTCTCCACTTCTCTAGAGTCCAGTGGCGGCGTGCTTTACACCACTGGAACCCACACTTTGCATCGCACTTGGTGATGTAAGGCTTGGATGCAGCTGCTCGGCCATGGAAACCCATTCCATGAAGCTCTCTACGCATTGTTGTTGTGCCAATCTGAAGGCCACACAAAATTTGGAGGTCTGTAGCTATTGACTCTGCAGACAGTTGGTGACTTCTGCGCACTGTGGGCTGACCCCACTCTGTAATTTTACGTGGCCTACCACTTCGTGGCTGAGTTGCTGTTGCTTCCACTTTGTTATAATACCACTAACAGTTGACCGTGGAATATTTAGTAGCAAGGAAATTTCATGGAACACCTGAATCCAATGATTTGGAGGGGTGTCCCAATACTTTTGGCAATATAGTGTATTTAAAGCCCAACTCAGGGTTGCAGGCAGATCCCTCTCCCTCAGGCTAGTCATGAAATACCTCAGAGCCCTCTTCACAACTTTGCCAGCTGGGCAGTCATCTATAATGCAGCCAATTACACAGTGCAGGCAGGGCATTTAACCCGGAAGACTAAGGACATCTTTTGGTAAAGAAAGTACTGAAGGCAAGTATTTTAGTCTGATTTTATTTTATTTATAACACCCAGGGGACCAGAGTTGGGCTTTAATAAATAGAAAACTTAACCACATGCCCACTCATTCCAATTTGCTTTATAATAAAAATTAAGTTATTCATAACGCATACATTAGTTGTTAACATTATGACACTTACCCAGGCATGTTCCATTGAGGCCACGAGTCACACAGTCTCGTAACACAGGCTCAGATATTTTTCTAGCCATTATGCGTTCATCAGTGCCATACAGAATCAGTGTGAAACTGTTTAAGAATCCTTAAATATATACAAGCACACACATAACATATCAGTAGATTGCATGCTAATGAAAGGAAATATCTAACGGCTTAAATGGAAAAGTAATTGGTTATTCAGTAACAATCAGTAACAATCTTTAAAAGTGACGTACGTTCTAAAACCAATGCATGGATACTTCCTGCTTTTACTTTTTTGCAGTGTTTGAGCTTTGCTGCACCTTCTCACCATGCAAGTCTATTAGTTTATTTACAACCCCAATTGCAAACAATTTGGGACACTGTATAAAAACAGAATGCAATGATTAGCAAGTCTCATAAACCCAGATTTTGTTCACAATAGAAAACATATCAAAAGTTTAAACTGAGAAAATGTACCATTTTAGAAGAAAAAAAAAAAAGGTAATTTTGAGATTGATGGCAGCAACACGTCTCAAAAAAGTGGGGAAAGGGCCAAGTTTACCACAGCATAGCATCCAGACTCTTCTACTACGAAGCAATGCAGTTGTCATAGAAACAGTATGTGGTTTAGCAATGTTTGCTGAAATATGCAAGGCCTTCCCTGAAAAAGACGTTGGATCAGCATTGATGGCGCCTTTCCAGATGTGCAAACAGCCCATTCCACTACTGCACCACCAATACCATCAGAGAAGCAGGCTTTTGAACTGAGCACTGAGCAGCTAAAAGGCCCCTCTACTCTAGTCCAGAGGACACAGCTCCCGTGGTTGCCAATAAGAATTCGTCTGACCACAGAACAGTTTTCCACTTTGTGACAGACCATTTTAAATGAGCTTTGGCCCAGAGAAGAAAGCAGTGTTTCTGGATCATGTTCAGATATGGCTTCTTTTTTGCATGATAAAGCTTTAACCTGCATCTTTGGATGGCATGGTGAACTGTGTTCACAGACAGTGATTTTTGGAAGTATTCCCAAGTCCGTGCATGTTTTTAAAGTGACATTAAACCCTCAGATTTTTTAACATAAACCAATACTGTAATGTGTGCCTTACTGTAATCCATGGTAGTTTCCCTTCTCTTTGCTGCTCTTCCTTTTAAATCTGTATCTGTTCTCATGCTGGGCAGAACTTCTGTTTTGCAGCAGACTGCCTTGTCTCTGGAATGGCTACATGGTGTCTGTGTGTACGTTTGCAACCTGAGCCAGCACTACAGGAAGAGGCACTCAGCTGCAAAGGGAAGTTCTCCCCAAGCATGAGAAGACATGAGGATTTAAAAGGAAGAGCAGCAAAGAGAAGGGAAACTACCATGGATTACAGTAAGGCACACATTACAGTATTGGTTTATGTTAAAAAATCTGAGGGTTTAATGTCACTTTAAAGGAGAACTATGGGGTTAAGTCTTTTCCCCATAGTTCTCCTTAGGGTATACTGAGACGCCGCAGTATACCGCGAGCAGCTGCTCGCGGTATACTGAGACGCCGAAGCGGATCCCGACAATTGTGCCGGGATCCGCCCAGCTGCGTGAGTGACAGCTGGCTCTGCCTATCTAAAGGCAGAGCCAGCTGTACCCGCCCCCTCCCCCGTCCGTTCCGCCAATCCAGCCCCTCCACTGTCACAGCAGAGAGCTGTGACAAGATCGAGGGGTGAGCGAACGCCGCTATGTGTTCGCTCACCTCCCGATCTACTGAGCCGACCTGTGAGTCTCATTGTCACAGGTTGACTAGAACTATGAGGTGAGTGAAAATCACTCGCCTCATAGTTCTCCTTTAATGCAGTGCCGCCTGAGGGCTCGAAGATCACGGGCATCCAATATTGCATGTTGGCCTTGTCCCTTGCACACAGAGATTTCTCCAGATTCTCTGACTCTTTAAATATATCATCATTTACAGTACATAATATCAAAAGTCTTTGCAATTTTACATTTAGGAACATTATTCTAAAATTGTTTGACAATTTTTACATGCAACTTTTTACGGACTGGTGAACCTCTGCCCCATCTTTACTTCTAAGACATTCTGACTCTCTAAGGCTGGCCATACACCTATGGGCTGAACGAAAAATTTTGACCCGATTCCTCCATAAACAGCATGTCGATCTAGGGATCCCGCTGTTTACATTGCATTCTGACAGGTGCAGCCGGCACCCGTCAGAATACTCGATAGGAGCGGGCAGCTCATCGGCTGCCAGCTCTGATCGTACAAAGATTTTCCAGCCGGCTCCTTCAATCAGCTGAAAGGCAGCCAATAGCCCCATACACTGTGCGAATTTCGGCCAGTACATTAAAAACCAGCCGAAATTCGGCTAGTGTATGGGCAATTGTATTGCCAATTAACATAATTAGTTACAAAATGTTCTTCCAGCTCTTCCTCGTTAAGGTGCCCATACACCTTACGATTATCGTGCGATAATCGTATGCGATCGACTTTTCGTACGACAATCGTAACGTGTGAATGTAGTGCCCGACTGATAGTACTGTACAATCGTACGACTTTTGACGGTCAAGCATGTTTGAAAACTTTGGTCGATCGTACGATGTTGGTGGCGTTTCCATCCGTCAAAAGTCGTACAATTAACACTGCGCATACGAAAATAATTACCGCAAGTTGTCCATGTGTTTTTTTTTTAAACTAGCGCTGATTGAACCTTGCGATAATCGGGGCAGGATGGGGCCGTCGTACGAAAATCGTACGACGGTTCGATCAAGGGACGAAAAGTTTTGTCCAATAATCTTAAGGTGTATGGGCACCTTTAGTATCAGTTACTTTCCAGGTTTTTGTTGCCCTGCCCCAACTTTTTTGAGACGTGTTGCTGCCATCAATTTGAAAATTACCTATTTTTTTTTTCTTAAAATGGTAGTTTCTCAGGTTTAAACGTTTGACATGTTTTCTATTGTAAATAAAATTCAATTCAAGTAAAGTTTGGTGGTGCCAACTGGGCCACCCATGCCTTAAATTTTAGCTGATCAAGAAGAAATTGGCTGAAATTTTAGACATGCATGGCCAGCTTTAGTGAATAAGCTGCAGAGAGAAGTACTGAGTGAACTCAATGTGCAGGGCAAAAAAAAAAAATTTACACACGTGACTGCATGATTGAACTGAAGGCAGCTTCTCCTTTACAGATCAGCAGGTTCCCTGAAACAATTCACTTCCGGTTTGGTTGACATTTTAAAGCAGTGGCATTGTTGTAGGTAATAAAATAGGGGAGAAAATGTTATCACCCATTACTATGAAACAACATACTGTATATAACTCAATATATGTTGCCTCTCAAACCAATATATATCTCCAACAAAATCTTCAAAAGGATAATATATTGAGCGTCTATAAGAAAACCACCACTTTCTTAAAACAATAATATGTAACCAGTATCCATATAAACATATTAAAGTGACAATAAACTCAGGAGTTAAACCTTAAAAATGCATTCAAATACTCTAACTCAGGGGTGCCCATTAGGTAGATGGTGATCTACCAGTAGCTTTCAAAGCTGATGCTGGTAGATCACGAAGGGTGTGAATGGCGGCCCCTTTATTCCATTTTGGTATATTTATTTAGCTGTGCACACATGATTACCGATTAGCCTGAGTCTGCTGAGCCAAGCTCCCCGACACCTTTCTGGTGGATTCTGGTGGTTGAAGTGCTATGTATTACATCAAAGAATATTAGTTTACGGCCCTCCTAGCTAGAAGATTACGCAAAATAGATTTACACCAAAAACCCCTCCGCCTCCGCCTCTCTGATGACTCTATGTCCAGCAACCCTCACAAAGTAGTACAGGAATTCGCCACGCATATGAGACAGCCAGGAGAGTGAGGAGAGACAGCCAGGGAGGTTTTTTTTTTCTTTGGTAGATCTCATGTAGCTCATCATTTGAAAAGTAGATCTGAACACAAAAATTTGTGGGCACCCCTGCTCTAACTATAAACAAAAATTTTTCTTATTTGTGTATCACTCGGCTGTAGATACTCAAATCATCTCTGAATTGGTGCTGACCTTCCTTCTGGAGGGTGGCTACCTTTTGTTCCCAATGGTCCTTGTATGTATTGTAAAGTAGCCACAGCTCCAAGCTCACTCCCATGATGGACTACAATCTCAACTTTAAGTTTGCTCATTTGTATTGAGATTAAAGTCCATCACTATAATGGACTATAAAGTAGAGATGCACCGATACAGATACTAGTATCTGTATCGATACCGTACACTCTCGCCAAAATGCTCCAATACCGGAACTTCCAGTCAGAGGGAGACCCGCCTCCCATCTTCCCGATTGTTCAGGAAGCAAGGCTGCCTAGGAACAAGTGAAGCCAGCTTCCTAGCCAATCAGGAAGTCGGGAGACGGGTCATGATATGCCACCCGGCCTCCTGATTTAGCTAGGAAGTCAGCTTCACTTGTTGGTAAGCAGCCTGGCTTCCTAACCCATGCGGAAGCTGGGCGGCACGTCATGACTCGCGTCCTGGCTTCTTGAGGGGTCAGGAAGCCATGCTACCTAGCAACAGGCGACGCTGGCTTCCTAGCCAATCAGGAAGCCGGGATTAGTCAGGAAGCCTGGCAGCTTCAGTAAGTGAAGCTGGTGTTTCGCTAGAACACTGGCTTCACAGGCAATCAGGAAGCAGAGTGACAGATCATGATCCGCTGCCTGATTTCCTGATCATCTGGGCCCACGGCATCGGCAAGTATTGAAAAATAAATATCTTGAAAAAACGGTATCCGTGCAACCCTACTATAAAGTAGCCACTGCTCCAAACTCACTCCCGTGACGGACTACAATCTCACATTAAGTTTGCTAATTTGTATTGCGATTGTAGTCTATCACAGGAGTGAGCTTGGAGTGGTGGCTACTGTGTAACACACATATGAACCATGGGGAACAAAAGTAGCCACCCTCCAGAAGGATGGACAGTGTCAGCACCAATTCAGAGATGATTTGAGGATCTACAGCCCAGTGATACACAAATAATATACATTTTTGGTTATAGTTTGTAAGCCCTCATGGGCAGGGCCCGCCTTATCTTGTCTTGAATTGTAATGTCTTCCTTATATTGTAAAGCGCTGAGCAAGCTGTTGGCACTATATAAATCCTGTATTATAATAATTTGTGTACTTGAAAGCATTTTTAAGACTGAACTCCTGAGTTTAGAGTCACTTTAATATTTGAAAGCAAAAGCCAACACGCACACTCACCATTGTTCCAGTCGTTTCCTTTGTTTACCAACTCTAGGGTCCACAGGCCGCGTGGGTTCTCATCCCAGCTGTGGGTGCTCATGAAAGTCCATTTTCTGTAACCAGCAGAGCTCATGTCATACGGTCTGTGAAGACATTCAAACGTCACGGACCTTCAACTATGACAGCAACATTCTTAAATATATATTCTCACCTCCGAGATACCAAAACAGAACGTGTGCCCATAGGAGAAGTGAGGAAAATTTCAAGATCACCTCTCCGGGTATAACCAAGGGAGATTTGGGCCTGGACATGTTCTAAGGACAGGATATAGCTAGGAGATCCAGCACAGGCAATGACGTATCTGTTTACAGTAAGCCCAGAAGACAGTTTCCTGAGATTCAAAAAGAGAAAAAAAAAATTAAAAGGGAAACTTTGATGAGAGAAATATATCAGGACCTCCACTGCTGACCTCTTTCAGAAAAGGCTAGTTGCTTTGCAGGCTTAGGATGCAATACTTTCTTAGTCACTGACCCAGAGCAAGCACACCAAGGAAAGGGAGAACTCCTTAATCTGCATTCTTAAATCAAGCTGTCGGATCAGCATAGCAGTAAGGCAACTAGAATTTTGTAGCGTTTAAATAAAAAAAAAAAGCCTAGAAATGGACTGGACTAGGTCACAAAATTTTACAGCATAGGTTAAATTATCTTGACAAAACCATGTATAAAAAATATTTCTAGTAATCTTGGGGAGACAGTCATCAGCTTTTACATTACTGGACAATCACGTGGAGAATAGATTCTAGATAGAATGCTGCTCATTCAGGGTAAAGGATCTTCCATTATATGACAAACTTTTATGCAAATGCGATATGCACATTCTGCATTCAACCATCTCAGGCAACACACCTTAACAGATAGATGGCACTAATGTTAATTTGGCTTTTATCTGGCTGCCATGTATTTGAAATCACTACAGTCAAAAAGGCAGACCTGCCCATTCCCTATTTCTGAGCACCACCTTCTTTAGTTCTGAAATAAAGAGATCACAGTCCCTCCAAGTAGCAATGAGCTTCTCTATAAGGATAAAAACTTACTGTATGTATTATATATTTATTTTTTTATGCTACAGTCATACACTTCATTCAGAATAGTTCTATACATCCATAGAAATGGTGATTTCCTTAACTTGAACATGATTTCATTTCTGATACCATTGCCGCTGAGAATACAGAGAGGGATTCACAGCATTATTGTTAGATGTTTGCACTAGAATATCTGTGCCCTAATTTTGTCTCTCTTAATAAGCCCCAGTATATATTTGTTTGGATCACAGGTCTGGCCTACTGTAAATAAAAGACCACACCTTTGCTGGGAGAATTACACATTTGTATTTGTTAGGGACGTTTGCTTCTCTTTGCCTTTCTTGTTAAAACATTGGAAGGTAGCAAACATCTGCAGAAAAAAAGCTGGAACAAGAAAACTGAATTGGGAGATTTTGGACAAGTGCATCAGTTTCTGACCCTTGGTCAAACTAAAATGTGGTACATATACATATCAGGATTAAGACCTTTATACAAAGGGTATCTACTATATTTGGTCAGTGGCATGGATGCACTGCCGTAAGCTTCCATAGTGGCTGCAAGCTCCACATCTGTGGTGCAATGCCTTCAGGTGTGTTCCACCCATTAACCAAAACTACTAGAAAAATCCAAGAATGGAGGCTACACTCCACATCTTCTCCCATCTGGTCATTTTATTAAACAAACAGACATCTCTTACCCTGCCAAACTCTTCCTTGTGACCCATTTCACTTGAAAACAAAGTATAAACTTAGAGACACAGGAGAGAGAAAGATGAGGGTGTTATACAATCACAACCACACCCTAAGGGGCAACTTTATCTTTGGTACATTTGTCCTTGGACTATCTGCTTGCCCCCTCCATCATGGGATAGTCCTGGTCATGGAGGCCACTATGAGTATGGGTCCCTATGGGACAAAATGGCACTGCAGGGTGCAAAGGCTGGCTTTATACCCATTAACCACAATACATGGTAACACAGTCTGTGGCCATTCATTCTGAATGCTACCCAAACACACCATAACACATGTGGGTTTCAGCACAGTACCCCACTATGTACAGATATTCAAATGCCTTCCTTAGACACACCTGACAACCAAATGGAACAGACAGGGAAGGAAATATGCATTAAGGCTAGTGTGTAAAGAAGCATATTCAACAACCTTCCCTAACTATTAATCTTTTTGCATTTCTATAGAACAAAAAAAAAAGAAAACCACGCCACACAGAATTAGGAAGCGGTAATACAATTGAAAAAACTTTAGCAGAAATAGTCATTTATGTACATACAAATGGTAGAGAAACAAGTCACTTTAAGACAGACCATATGCTAAAACATGATACTAACTGAGGGCTGTTCACAATGTTGACCTCACATCTTCTCTGAGGACGCGTCATTTCCCACTTCTGGGCAAGATCCACCAGTTGCCCAGCATCCAAAAGCCCATAACCATAATGGCGACTCACTAGGGAAAGAATAAACATACAGCATGATTATTAATATTATAATCTCCCAGACAACACAATCTTCTGGCATGCTGAAATGTCTTTTTTTATACAGTCTTATTTTATATTTTCCAGTTGTTCTTCTTTACAACACTTGAAATCTATATCCTGCTGATAGAGCAACTATAATGTTGGTATCACAACTCAAAGCCGATCTCAGGCAAATATAAAAAAGAAAAAAAAAAGGAAAAATTACTGCAACTCTTGAATAATGTAGAAGTCATTGAACATATTTCTTAAATTGTAAGCAGTACAAGAACCTACATTTGACCTGGTATCAGCCTCTTGCAGTTTACATCAGAGCTTAGAGAAGGGGAGAGAAAAGCAGCACACAAAGTCACAGTGCATGGAGCATGCTAATAAAGAGGACAGAGCCGAGTGACAGAGGGATGAGCTTACCAGTCTGGTGCTTCTCCCTTCACTGTCCAGTCACATAAGGGTGGGAAGGTGACCTGTAAGTGAAAGTGAAGCTGCAGCATAGAAAAATCAGGTTTTCTGCCCTGCCAGTGGCACAGTTGAATGGACAGAAATACAGTGGTACCTCGGTTCACGAACTTAATTCGTTCCACGATTCTGGTCGTGAATCGAATTGGTCGTGAAATCGAATAAAATTTCCCCCTAAGGTTCAAATGTAAATAAGGTTAATCCATTCTGACCCCTACAAACGTGGTCGCGAACCGAATCAAATTTTCCCATAAGGTTCAATGTATATGAGGTTAATCCGTTCTGAACCATATGTAAATTCATTACCGCTCGGCACTTTCTTTTTACCACCATGCTTGCGCTGCACTTTCTTTGGAGCCATGCTGGATTGAATAATACTGTACAGTACTGTATGTGCTAAAATGCACACAAAAAAGCTTCACAGCAAGTGAGCACAGGTCTGTCTGCGACCGCGATCTCGACTAGGAGGAAGCCACGACCATGTGTCAGAGCAGGGAAGATGGCCGCGGTCGTGTTAGTCACCCGATGCGGAGTTCATGAACGGAAGCAACATTTTGCCAAACTTCCTGTTCGCGAACCAAATTGTTTGCGAACAGAAGCGTTCGTAAACCGAGGTATTACTGTACAACTCCTTAGGTAGGTAAAACAGCTCGCATATATGTATTTAGCGGTTTACTAAAACAGCTAAGGCTGAGAAGATGGATATAAAATACCACATTTAACCCAGCTATGTATTAAAACATCCTTAAAAGCTCCTATTTGTGATGGTAACCAAGTCCATCTTTATATTAGGCTCTGTCAGTTTCTTTAACAGCGGGGTTTAGACTGGTAGAGAAAGAGGCAGCACTGCAAGCCAGTCAGGCATTACTACATTAAACAGTGCTTGTGAATAGAACAGAAACACGCTGAAAGTCAAACTATATTATGAAACCCCTGTGACTTGCACAAAAGGTAAAGGTAAAGTGCTCTGGTAGACCCCACTCATCTTGCATCTTGTGAAGGTCAAGAAAGGTTCATACATAGCATTATGAGATATGGGGGTTTGCCAAAATGCTTAACTTGTCCTCTATAAGTTGATATTTGCATACTATGCACATCCGGGTTCGGGGGCTCTAAAGGGTGCAAAAGCATGTTTTCCAAAAAAGAAAGAATTGTGCAGATACCCTATGATGTAACGTGTTAGTAGTATATTAATGTTACATTTATAGGAACAACAGGCTTGCAATAGAGGCAGCTATCAGCAAATAAAGCATACATATACATTCTTACATAGTTACATAGTATTTGAGGTTGAATAAAGACATTAGTCCATCAAGTCCAACCTATTAGGATCTCATTCTAGGAGTACCCGTACCCCTGTATATTACGGTCCCTTAAGAAATCGTCCAAAAGTTTCTTGAACAATTCCACATTATTTGCTGAAATCACCGCCTGTGGCAGTGAGTTCCAGACCCTAACTGATCTTACTGTGAAGAACCCCTTTCGCCCCTTGTGCTGGAATTTTTTTTCCACCAATTTTAGGTGATGGCCTCTAGTTTTTGTAACGGAGTTAATTTTAAACAGTTTATCGCTAATGTTGCTACCACCATTAAACATTTTGTACATGGAAATCATATCCCCCCTTAATCTCCTCACCTCTAATGTGAACATGTTTAAATTTAGTAGCCTTGTCTCGTAGCTCTGGTCCTCCATACCCCTAATTAGTTTGGTTGCCCTCCGCTGGACTTTTTCCAACTCAAGGACATCTTTTCTTAGTACTGGTGACCAGAACTGGACCGCGTACTCCAGATGAGGTCGAACCAATGATCTATAAAGTGGCAAAATTATAGACTTGTCCCTGCAATACATCCCCTTTTTAATACAGGACAAGACCCTGCTAGCTTTGTTTACAGCAGCCTGGCACTGCAAACTACCTTTCAGTTTGTGGTCTACAATGACCCCCAAATCCTTCTCCATTTCTGACTTCCCCAGCGGCATACCCATAATTGTATAACCCATTTGTTTATTTTTAATTCCAAAGTGCATTACTTTGCATTTATCGACATTAAACCTCATCTGCCACATTAATGCCCACTCCCCTATTTTATCCAGGTCCTCCTGTAATGTTATAATGTCTAAGTCCGTGTCTATTACCCTCCCTATTTTGGTGTCATCCGCAAACACGGAAATATCGCTGTTAACACCCTCCCCGATGTCATTAATAAATAAGTTGAACAATATGGGACCCAGCACAGAACCCTGAGGCACACCGCTCATTACACTAGCCCAGTCTGAAAAGGTGCCATTTACAGATACCCTCTGGACACGTTCCCGTAGCCAGTTCTCTATCCACGTACACACCACCTCATTCTTGGCATCATGGATTAAATATTCATTGTGTACAGGTCTTTTGCTAACAAGGACACTCATTACTGCCACGTAAACCGCACAAAAAGAACACCCTTTGTACCATACAAAATCACCTGCACCCAGGGCCGGATTTACTCTCTCTGCTGCCCCAAGGCCATGCTTCTCAATGCGCCCCCCTATCTGCCAACCCCCCCCCCCACACATTCTCGTCATTTACCAATGACTGTTAGGATAAATAAAAACATTTCCATACTTGCCAATACTTTTTCTTAAAAGGGACATGTGACTTTTTCAAAAATACAGACTAATGATTTTAGGGCAGTTTATTTATAATTACGAAGAACTGTAACTCAATCCATGATTATTCAGAAATGGAGAATGGCAAATAGCAATCATGGATTGCTGGGATTTGTAGCCTTCCATTCTCTATTGCTGTATATAAATCAGAGAATATATACAGCAATGTAGAATGGCGACTACAGATCCCATCAATCCATGATTAAACAATAATTATACAGGGTGCATGCAGGTTTTACCAGGCTGCGTGCAGGTCTCATCAGGGCTCTGTGGGCAGGTGCCTGGCTCTCCAGGGCTCTGCATGCAGCTGCTGGGCTCTCTAAGGCTGAACGGGTTGGATCAGGGCTTGCGAGTGTGGGGCTGTCCTGTGCCGAAACCGGGAAGGAGGAGGCGGCAGTGTGCAGCCGGACTGGCACCATCAAAGACAGCTGCCTGAGGTCCCCAACAAGCTCATCAACTCAGGCAGCCGAACTTCCTACAAAAATGTAAAGGGCCAGTATTGGTTGTGCCGCCCCTCTACTCCCCTCAGTGGCCTTGTGGGGAATCCGGCCCTGCCTGCACCTGTGTTTCCCTACTCTTTCATGATTTAGGGAGGCAAGGTGTGAGACAGTCAAAGTCAAACCTCACTTTCTCGTATGAAACCCACCAGCTAATCATGTTGCGAGAAAGAATAAAGTGATAAAAGTAAACAAAAATAGATGTAATGTGGAGGTGAAGACAAACAGCTAAAATTTCTAATTTTGTTCAGCTAGTTTTCAAATTCAGACAACACTGCCAGGATCTGTCCTGATTTTCTGATGGACTTAAGATTGGCTAAAGACTGTCCAAGTGTGATTGGGTTGGTGTAAAGATGGAGAAACAACAATATAATAGGGTCAAATCTGTGTGATTTTATTAAAAACATTACAATTACAAAAATTCTAACAATCCCTGTTTTTAAGAGGAAACAGGATTCCTATTCTCACCTTTTCTCCCAACTCCATTTACCTTCCAGTCATCAGAAACCAGATGTGTAGGACTTGATGCTCTCACCACAATGTGCTGCACATCCCTCCATGTGAGGGCAGGACTGTGTAAGGATCACAAGATGAGTCACTAGATTTCTCACAAGTCATCATTTTCACATCTATTGACTGTAGTTCTTACTTTGCTTCCAGGGCAAGGGCAATTATCCCAGCAGCTAAAGGTGCAGATGCCGATGTCCCTGTGTGGTGTTCAGTGCACCGTTTACGCAGGTCAGTGGTGATCTAAAAAAGTTGGGAAGTGCAAATCTTGAGAAGCATGCCAACACACACGTTAAATCTTAAAAATACATTCAAGTACCTTAACTATTAACAAATCCAGGCGGTCCCCGGGTTACATACAAGTTAGGGACTTTAGGTTTGTACTTAAGTTGAATTTGTATGCAAGTCGGAACAGGTAAATTTTTTAAGTGTAACTCCAGCCAAAAAAATATTTTTCGTCTTGGATAGCATAGGGAGGGTCACGTTTGTTTTGCTGTCTCTTCCCCTTGTTCAGAAGATTATAATATAATAAAATGTTTTATTTAAAATGACACCAAAAAAAGTTTTCTAATTTTTAATTTTATTTTATAAACTTCATTTTTTTATTTGTTTGCATTTTTAATTTTTATTTAAACTTTTTTTTTACATTTCTTTAAAACTTTTTTTTATTATTTTAATGCTGGGAGCCATACCCAGACTGCTATTGGATATTGTAAAATGCAATAGACAATAGCAAGCTGGCTATTGCATCTGCCCACTGCCTGCTGTCAATCAGCAGAGGAGGGGCCTGATGGAGAAAGTTCTCTATCAGGTCCTCCCGTGCGGATTGACAGCAAGCAGTGGGCGGGTACTATAGCCAGCTTGCTATTGGCTATTGCATTTGACAATAGCCAATAGCAGGCTGGGTATAGCTCCCAGCCTGCAATGAAGAGGAGGCCGGGACAGCGAGCAGATGATCGTCCGGACCGGGGAAACCGACGGATTGGCGGAAGAGGAGGCCGGGACATCAGCGGAGGTAAGGGGAGCAGCGGCAGATTGCAGCGTTCTGTGTCCCCGCTGCCTCCCCCAACACAGGGGCGGAGAGCAGCGGGGACACAGGCCGCTGCAGCCACAGTTGTGGACCCCGTTCGTAAGTACGGATGGTCCGTAAGTCGGACGTCCGTAACCCGGGGACTGCCTGTATGTACCTTGTGGATCACTGGGCTGTAGATCCTCAATTCATCTCTGAATTCATGCTGACACTGTTCTTCCTTCTGGAGGGTGGCTACTTTTGTTCCCCATGGTCTGTGTGCGTTGTAAAGTAACCACCACTCCAAGCTCGCTCCTGTGATGGACTACAATCTCAGGTTTAGTTTACTAATTTGCATTGAGATTGTAGTCCATCACAGGAGCGAGCTTGGACCGGTGACTACTTTACAACACACACAGAGACCATGGGGAACAAAAGTAGCCACCCACCAGAAGGAAGGACAGTGTCAGCACCAATTCAGATGATTTGAGGATCTACAGCTGAGTGATACACAAATAAGATACATTTTTGTTTATAGCTGGGGTACTGGAATGTATTTTTTAAGTTTAACTCCTGAGTTTAGGGTCACTTTAAAGTTCCACAACAAAGTCCAAATCCCATTCGCACTGCCACGGTCTCAAAACCACAAGGTATATGTGGTGCCCAGGTGACCACACGGATGGCTGTGCAAAACACTAATAGTAAATAAAAGTAATTCACCGGCACACACTTGGAAGGGTTTTTAAAGTATTTATATGTTTATTCAATACCCAATGTCACATACTGTCATACGGTGCTAACGTTTCAGGTCCGCACAGGGATCCTTCATCAGAGCGACAGTGACACAATGCATAGGTGAACATGCAGGTATAAATACACATCAATCTAGGTGCAAACAGACAGCCCATGACATCATAATGACGTAATTCCCACAAAAATTCAAACAGATAGACACACCCACATCAACACAGAAGAATTCTATTAGTATTAAGTGCAAAAAAAAAGGTAAACACAAACTCTTTTTTCAAAGGCTATGTGTGTAAGGATCCCTGTCATTGGATCGACCTGTTGTCTAAAAGGCCTTATTTGGTTTGGATGGTTTCGAATCGTAGTAGATCCCTACAGTCAGAGAGATGGTCCTAAAGGTGTACAGGACATAAAGCAATGGAAATAGCATCAGTCCATAAGGAAGCATGTATAGGATATTGTACTGTTAAGTCCCCTGGGATGCATGGTCTCCAAAGTATGTATCCAAAAAGCTTCCCTGCGTAGTAGTGCGTTGATATGGTTACCGCCCCGGGGGGTTTTTTGCACCTGTTCTATTACCATCGCACATAGTTCATGTACCTGGTGATTGTGCATGGCAAAATGTATGGCGACTGGTTTGTAGGGGGCCATTTCCCTCCCGTTCTTTTTTTGTTCTATGGCCAATTTGATATCGCTTTTGTGCTTCCGATATCTCTTTTTGAAGGCTTTAATTGTCTTGCCGACATACGCTAGTGAACAGGGGCACTTCAAGACATAAAGACAGTGGTCGGTATTGCAGTTATAGTAGCCAGGGATCAGGTACTTCTTGCCCAAATGTGGGTGCATAAATGAGTCCCCCACTATAATGGAGTTGCAGATACTGCAATTAAAGCATTTGAAGCACCCTTTTCTATTGGAGGTGGTAAAGCCCGGGGTTGAGTACTTATCTATCAGATCCGCCTTAACCAAGCGGTCTCGAATAGATTTGTTTTTGGAAAAGGTGACCCGTGGTATCTGTTTTACAATAGGGGCTAGTGTCCTATCAGCCTGGAGAATGCGATTATTTCTACCCAGAGTTCTCCTGAAGTCACATGTCTCAGAATTAAATGTAGTAATAAATGTGGTCTTATCCGCACTAGTACCAGTTTTGGGTGTGTGTAGTCTTTGTCTCGCACATTCTAATGTGCGTTTCAAAATGTCCTCAGGGTATCCCCTTTCACGAAACTTGTGGTGCATAGCCCTGAGTTGGATCTAACAGTCATCATGGTCTGAACAAATGCGCATAACTCTTAGGAACTAAGATATCGGAAGAGTGTCTTTCAGTCTACCAGGGTGTGCACTTTGGTAGCTAAGGAGTGTGTTGCGGTCTGTGGGTTTGCTATAGAGGGTAGTGTCCAGGCAGTCATTCTTGACCGTTATCCTTACATCGAGGAAAGAAATCGTGGAATGCGATATCTCAGGGTTAAAGACAATCCCTTTAACAATGGAATTTAGGAATGACACAAACGTATACACAGTGTCCTGCGTACCTGTCCATATAACAAAAATGTCGTTGATGCATCTGACCCACATTTTCACCATTTAAAGTGATCCGATGGAAAGATATGCTCCTCCTCCATTAGACCAACAAATAGGTTCGCATAGGAGGGGGCAGCAGAGTTTCCCATCGCTGTGCCTCTTTTTTGCCGATAAAAACCTTTCTCAATTTTGAAGCTGCCTCATTAGGATGGGTTAAGAGTCCCAGCTGGCTGTCCCCCGAGAGTGCCCTAGCTGTACACTCTTGAGGTTGAGACCTGAAAGGCTTAGGAGTCCTGTAATTGCCTTTTCTAATGATAGGCAAGTTTGGAGAGCATCAATAGCAAGGGTACGGGAGTGGGTTCATTAAAGTGGAGGGTGTTAGAACACTACTCAGCCTCCATTCAAGCAGTATGACATCATAACAGGTACTTACAATCTTCCTGTCTTTCTTTTTGCCACTGCTAAATGTGGTAGTGAGTATAGATGAACACCCTTCACTATACCATGGGACTTCTCCATTCTCTGTGGTGCTTACAACAGACAGGGTGTATATACTATTGCTGTAGCCATCACAGTTACAGTCATCATAATGCAGGCCACCATTTCCAGATGCCCATACAAAAATTGAACCAAGTCCACCACGTCCCTAAAACAAAAGAAAAAACACTGAAAAGGCAACTGATGAAGAAAAGAAAAAGAGGCAACTTTATGGTGCAAATAGAGAGATGCAGTTAAAGGGTTCAACATAAAGAAATCAAATATTATCCCTTGCAGTGGAGCATATATATATATATATATATCGATATCGATATATCCATATTACACATACATACATACATACACGAACAGTGATCCCAGCTTGCTCCCTTCAGCCTCACCCCTCCACCCCCCCTTCTGCTCCAGTGGTCTAGGGTCCTGCGAGTCATCACGTTCAATACACTGTGTATAGGACGTGAGGACGCTGAGGGACATTCCAAGACTGGAGTGGAGGAGGAGACAGGCTGGACGGAGCGGTGTAAGAGCAAGCCGGGTTCATGGTTCAGGTGAGTATAACGAGCACTTAACCCTTACAGACCAGGAGTAGCAAAAAATGGATCTGGGATTGGCTCTCGCGAAGTAAAGGTGCCCATACACCTAACAATTATCATTTGAAAAATGAATGTGATCCATTTGTCATATGATTATCGGCCAGTTGATAGGAAGTGCATGATCCTAATTACTGTACAACTGGCCAAATTTGGTTGAACGGTAGACTAGAAAACGTTCGTTAAAATATATGGGGGAGGAGGACGGTGGATTAATGGCGTTTTTGTACAGCAAAAATGGCAACATGAACACTGCACATGCGCAAATGAAAACCTGTTCTTTCGATCAACGAAATTCGTCCAGTTAGTAGTGCTGACGAATGATTATGGAAATCCACATTGGTCTGTGTATGATGGGCTATTTGTACAGAAATTGAACGAGGGTGCGATGATGGGACAAAGAAAATTGAATGATAATTGTAAGGTGTATGGGCACCTTTAGGCTCTTGGCAGATGTTCTTTTCTAGATCTTATACGAGAGCTGAAGTAGCTTCCTGCAACAGCCTTTTATGAGGCCTCTAGAGCAGTGGTTCTCAACAGATGTAACCTCAGGACCCACATTTGTCCTTGGTTATTAAGTCACGACCCAAGTCGCTTTGCAAGGGAACACACAGCATTGCGATACCGGTGTGGGTGATTGAACTGTGGGCAGGAGGTAGGTTTGGGGTGCCATTCAAATGAATGGCAACGCATCACCTCCCGCACCGGAGCGTGTAGTAGGTGCGATTGCATGGTACAGTGCGTAAATTGCACAGGACTGTTTGATTAACACTGTACTAGTGTGAACGGGCCCTCAAAAACACTGACAGACACACAGAACCGGAGATACAATCTCACACACCTATACACACTCCCAAAAAAATTTAAAAACATTTTCTTTTAATTTAAGATGCACCCAGTCTCCCTACCTTACAAGAACTGGAGTGGGTCCTCAGACTGGAGTCCAGTTTGGTGCTGTGACAGAGCTCCATCCAAATGTGCATTGCTTGTACAGCTCCCTTGCGTGTCCTGTAGAGGTGCCAGGAGCCAGCATGTGATGTCACTCCGGTCCAGGCACCTCTACAGGACACACGAAGGCGCTGTAAGCAATGCATGTATAGATGGAGCTCCCTTGCGGCCATAGCTCCAGCCCACCTCAAGCTGACGGTGCCAGGCAGAATATTTCGAATGGCTGCTTGGTGCGAGAACTGACAGTGCTGCGGTAGGGTGAGGCTGATAAGCCTCTCACCTAGAAAAGTGGAAGGCACACGGCGACCCACTGAACATGGGGTTGCGACCCACTTTTGGGTAATGACCCACCAGTTGAGAACCAAGGCTCTAGAGTGTGTCATTGAGCCAGCTCCCCAACCAAAGGCCCAGGGGGGGAGCTGAGACAGGAGGGCTAAAGCACTGTATGATCTCTTCACCTGGCTCTCCCATAGTGTCAGTTTCACAAAAGGAACCATATTTTTATGTACCAACATGCTTCCACCTGATAAACCATAAGTCATTGTGTATTAAGCTTTCAATAGGTACCAAACTTGAAGCACCTTTGGTGTCCGCCTCCTTTAGAAGGGATACTTTGTGTCTTCCTCTATTCTGCCTAATCCAGTGGTGCTTGGTAAATCTGCGATCAGTGTCCCATGGCACATCTATATACAGTGAGAGGAAGTGATCAAAAGTGGAGCAGACAAAATCTGGAGGGCAACCAATCAGAGTCTCTCTTCAGTTTGTTCAGTTAAGATTTGAAAATGAAAGAGATGCTGATTGGTGCAGGCACATCTGCTCCAGATTTTGTCCGCTCCACTTTTGATAAATTCCGCTCAGTATATATTCATTATTAATGCATCACCCCCAGGTCCAAAGTTATGAATGCTGGGTGAATTTTGGGAAAAAAGTTTCATAGTCACCTGGCTCTTATCAGGCAATGTATAAGGCTATGTGTAATGTCTGTGACATGTCAAGTGCTCTGGCTTCCACTTAGTACTTTAATGTACCCCATTAAGATACACCATATAAACAGTCAGCCATCAGCCAGACCTGAATAAACATATTTGATGCTTCAGCAGACTGTGGCATTTGAAGGCCCTTTTACAAAAAAACACGCATGTTTAATTCGTATCTGATTTAAACATATACAGATGTGTCTTATTTCAACAGAATGAGGGGATTTCCGATTTAGGTTTGGGGTGCCCAGACCTCATGTACCTTATTGGTAATATACAAGCAGGTTCTTCCAGCAGAGAGGAGAACCAAACTCTTCTTAACCACTTGCTGACCAGGTGTTTAGACCCCCTTCCTGGCCAGGCCATTTTTCAGTATTCAGCGCTGCGGTACTTTTACATTTATTCAGTCATGCAACGCTGTACTGAAATTAATTTTATATAATTTTGTGGGGACACATAGACCTTTCTTTTGGTGGTATTTAATCACCACTGGGGTTTTTATTTTTACTATATTTTGGGAAAATTACTCAAAATTTTGGGTAAAAATTACGTTTTTTTTACATTATGTTAGGAAACATTACCCAATTTTTTGGGTAAAATATAAAAGACGAGGGTCACGTCGGGTAAATAGACACCAAATATCTCAAGCTTAAAAATTGTGCGCACCCACGAAATCGCAAAAAAACTACCATCCCCAAAATTGACCACAGGCAACGCTTTAAAAGCTTTTACCGCTCATCAGTTTAGTGTTATCAGTGATTGATGACCCAAAAATTATTGCTCTCACTGCGACGTTCGCGGTGATATGTAACATGTGCAGCGTAATGGGCGCAAGTAGTTTTCGCAGGTATGTGCCCCTGACGCATGTTTGCATGTGTGTATGTATGGGTGGGGACTTTAAAACATTTTTTTAATTCTTTTTTATGTGTAACTTTACAAAAAAAATTGGAAACTTTAATTTGTTTCCTATTTTTTTTCCCACTTAACTTTATTGCTATCACAGAGGGGGCTAAAAAACTCCTCCTATGTGATAACAAAAGATGTTACAGGTCCTCTTTATGGAGACATCAGGGGTCTCCAAGACCCCTAATGTCACCTAGGACCCCCCTGAAGAAGCTGATGAAGCAGAGATCTGCTTCATCAGCTTCTCTCTAGCGTCTGAAGCTGGAGATTGACACGAGAATGCGGAAGTGATGTAATATACATCACTTCCACATTATGACACCGGAGAGGCACTATGCTGGTCCCGGGCTCGCACCGAGCACAGCGGAGCCCGGGACCAGTATGACAACCTCATGTGATCGCAATGTCTTAGCTGCAATAGTGATCATATGCTCAGAAAAACAAGCTGATCATTAACACTACAACAAAAAGAGACAGAAGACAACTGAAAATTAAGGAGTATTACATACAGAAACTCACATGTACAATTCCCCTATAAAAGGCCTCCATAGCTAAAATGCCTGGTCCTTCCACAGTCATCCCATCATCCTCTGGTCCCCAGCTTGCACTGTAGATGTGAATGTGCTGGGGATTCAGACTCAGAGACCGAGCTTCAATAACATCAGTGATCGATCCATCAAGCATCCGGATGCCTAGGGAAAAAATATCAATTTAGAATGAAATAGTATTTTTCAATGCATTATTCAGGGGTCATCTTAAAGTCTTTTTTTTTTTTTGGTATGACGACTTTTTTGCTTGAATTACCTCCTATTCTTGCATTGTATGCAACCCCTGCACCACAGATGTCATTATTTGCTACTGCGGCCACTACTCCAGCACAACGTGTTCCATGGCTAGGAAATATGTAAAAAAGAAAATGGTAAGAAATGACTAGGTTTGTAAAAGTTAGGCAGACACCTGAAAAAGGAACTGTATCTTTCACATACAAACATATATTAATACAAGACATTTGATGATTAACCTAATCCCTTTTTCTGGCAAACTGGAGGGAGGGGGCGATAGACAGCCTTCATCTCTTAATATGTGGAAATGCAAGATTAACTCTGAGCTCCCCCTTTATAAATTAACACATGGAAGTAGGGCCAACCTGCTCTCTTTTTTTTTTATAAATTCTTTATTTAACAAGGATTTTTCACAAGGAGCGCTCTCGATTTCCCATGGGCACTCAGTCTACGGAACCCATGGTCATCCATGCCCGGAGGAAAGGCTGGGTTTCCCAGGACTGGGATCATCGGGGAGGGAGGGGGCGAGATTGAGTATTGTGCGAAGGCAGAGCGAGCTACTGCCAGTGTAGGCATTACGGTGGGGTGAGAGCGGAGAGCTGGAGGAATGGGAGAGGAGCACCACGCCAGTCCCGACAACGGCGTCTTGGAGAGCGACTGTTCCAGGCCGGTCCATAGCTTCGAGGTGGGATGGCGACACCAATCCAGCACCCGGGTCAAGTGGGAGGTAATAAAGATGTACGTCCGGGAGACGCATCCCCCCGGAGTGTTTGGGTAATCGAAGTATGTTGTATTTGAGTCGGGGAGGCTTACCGGCCCAAACAAATTTGGTGAAGAGAGATCTGATCGTTCGGAAGAACGAAGGTGGTATCTTTATCGGGAGAGCCTGGAGAGGATATAAGAGCCGAGGGAGAATGGTTTGCTTTAAGATATTACACCTGCCCATCCACGAGAAAGTACCAGAGGTCCATTGCTTAAGGTCCACGCCGATGGCAGCCAATAAGGGAGGAAAGTTAAGGGAGAAGGTAAGGATTGGGTTTTTAGGAAGTTGGATGCCCAGGTACTTCAGGGAAGTGGGGGACCACTTAAATGGGAAATTAGTTAGTACTCTCCGCAGGCGGGGGCCTGTGAGAGAGAGGTGCATGGCCATAGATTTATGCGAGTTGATTAGAAAGTTCGAAAGTCTGCCGTAACGCTCTATCTCTGCCAGGAGTACCGGGAGGGAAACGTCGGGGGAGGTGAGGAAAAACAAAAGATCGTCTGCGAAAGCTGCCACCTTATGCTGGACTGGACCAATCTGCACTCCCCGTATGCTCCCGCTGGCTCGTACATTGCAGAGGAAAGGTTCTAGTGAGAGGACAAATAGAAGGGGTGAGAGTGGGCATCCCTGCCGCGTTCCGTTAGTAATGGGAAAGGGAGGGGACAACACCCCATTAACCCGGACTCTGGCGGTTGGGCAAGAATATAGAGAGCGGATCCAGGTCTGCATATGTGGTCCCAGGCCCACCGCCCGCAGAGTAGACGACAGAAAGTCCCAGTCCACTCTATCGAAGGCCTTCTCCGCGTCCGTAGATAGTATGACGCACGGAGAGGCCGACGATAGAGCCGAGTGGATGACTCCCAAGGCCCGGGTAGTATTGTCTCTAGCCTCCCTAGCCTGCACGAACCCCACCTGGTCGAGGTGAATCAAGTCTCCTAGGTGTGGGGCTAAGCGGTGGGCCAGGATCTTGGCGAATAGTTTTATGTCAGCGTTGAGGAGGGAGATGGGTCTATAACTTGGGCAAAGTGAAGGGTCTTTCCCCTCCTTTGGAATAACCGTAATGTGTGCTAGGAGTGTTTCAGGTGGTAAGGTGGCTCCGGTTCGCAGTGAGTTGAGGGCTAACAAGAAGTGTGGGCAGAGTTGAGGGAGAAAGTGCTTATAATAAGCCAAGGTATAGCCATCTGGTCCAGGGGCCTTACCGGAGTGGGTGGTTTTGACGGCATAATCTAATTCTGCGGCAGTGATTGGGGCCTCTAGCATGGAGCAGATGGAGGGGTCCAGAGTGGGCATGGCTGACTCAGTAATATAGGCGGCTATGTGGGCCGAACGTGTCTGGGAGTGGGTATTGGAGGGATGAGGAGATAGGTTATATAGAGATACGTAATAATATAGAGATGCGTAATAATCGCGGAACGCGGTGGCTATAGCCGATGGCGACTCGGATTTGGTGCCGTGAGCGTCTTCTATGTGTGGTATATACGTCCGGGCATGTCGTGTACGCAAGGCACGTGCCAGGTACTTGCCACACTGGTTGCCATACTCATAGAACGATCGTCTGCATTTCATTAGGGAGGACTTGACTTTGGTGAGGCATAACGTTCTAAGCTGCTCCCTAAGGGAGCACAGCTGAGAGCCCAACGCGCGGTCCCCCAAGGTCTTGTGGCGGGATTCAAGGTGGCGAATCTGCGTCAAGAGGTCAGTGACACTGGCAAGGCGCTCTTTTTTGAGCCTGGCCCCCTGAGCAATAAGGGAGCCCCATATGACCGCCTTATGCGCTTCCCACACGGTGAAGGGGGGGGGACGTCTGGGGTGCCATTCTCCTGGAAGAAGAAATCGCAACTCCTGGCTTATAGTCTCTGAGACAGTAGGGTCCTGAAGTAGGGATTCATTCAGCCTCCACTGCCAGGGGCCTGGAGGGGGGCCATCCAGGGAAAGGTCAAGGAGGACGGGAGCATGATCAGAGAAAGTTATGTTTCCAATGGTGGACGAAGTAACTCGGGGGAGCTGACTGTGGTGTATGAAAAAGAAATCTATGCGGGTGTAGCGGAGATGGAGGTTGGAAAAAAAAGTGTAATCCCTCGTAGAGGGGTGTTGAATGCGCCAGACATCTATCAACTGATGGTCAAATAGACACTTTTTTATGCGGTTCAACTTAGCGAAAGAGAGGTGGGAGGAGGACGCGGAGGAGTCTAAATTTGGGTCTAGCACAAAATTAAAGTCTCCCCCTAACACCAGGAGACCCACCCGGAAGTCTGCCAAAAGGTCCAGGCTACGTATCAGAAAGGAGATTTAGTCATGGTTGGGCAGGTATAAATTTGCGAAGGTGACCATCTGGGTCCCAATTGTGCCCTTTACGAACAGTACCCGGCCCTCTTCCCCAGCATATTGGTCAGTCAAGGTCCAGTGGAGTGAGCGGGACAGTATGATGCTGACTCCTCTAGAGCGTTTGTCAGACGAGCCATTGTGGTAAACCGTAGGGTAACGGTGGTCGCTCAGGCGGGGAATTTGATCTACTCGAAAGTGGGTTTCTTGAATGAACGCTGCGTCAACGCCCTGACGGTGAAGATCCCGGAGGAGCATGGTTCATTTTTCCGGTAAATTGAGGCCTTTAGCGTTCAAGGATAAGACCCGCAGGCAAGACATCTCAGCAAGACACGAGGACTGTCCGGTGAGCAGGGGAACGTGGGAAGGGGAGGACAGAAGCGGAGTGTGGGAAGGGAGGTAGTGCCTCGTACAAGCAAGAGATGGAGGCCACGGGTGCGGCGGACCTTCGTCCCACAGTGATGGCCATCCTCAACACCGTACTGGACAGGGCACCAGATTCCGCCCTGGAGATTGACCGAGTCCACCGCGTGGGAGGCCCCAGGACAGACGGTGACCCCCGGCCTAGGGACGTATTATGCCGCATCCATTTTTTCGAGGTAAAGGAAACCGTGATGCGCAAAGCGTGGCAGAAGGGCCCAGTCCCCTTTGATGGGGCCGACATAACTCTACTACCAGACTTGTCCCGCCGCACGCTACACATGCGGCGGCTACTACAACCCCTCCTTGCCGAAATCAGACGGGCTGGATGCCTCTACACTTGGGGGTACCCCTTTAGCTTGACTGTGCGCCGAAATGGCCGTTCCTTCATCCTGCGACATCCGGCCCAGTTGGCTGACCTCTTTTCATTCCTGGGAGTGACACCTGTGGAGATGCCTGGACCTGGACGCGGAGCATCGGCCTCTTCCTCAACGCAGGCGCCAACGAAGCACATCGTGGAACAGACCTAGGGTATCCCACCCTACGCCCACCTCTAGTGAACCCTAACTCTGAGACAGTTTAGGAGAGCCCTGTCCTGCCGAATCGGGACCGGACGGATATCACAATGCAGAGCCTGTCGACGCCGTGCCACTGGTCACTCAAGGAGACTTTGATAACTGGCGACAACTAGTTACAAAGACCTCGCAAGTATGAACCCCCATTCCATCCGCGAGCCCCCGTGGGACGCCCGCTCCCTTGATCCACACGCCAATGAACCCTAACACTCCCGGCGTGGTTGGTCCCTAATGCATCACCTTCTATGCATGCCTGGACACCAGGGGTCAGCCATGGTCAGGCACCTGGTCACCCCCGTTTTCCACGCCCGGACTCCCCAGCTCAGAGGTCACCACCCCCCTGGACAGAGTGGAAGCACTCCAACCCTTACAACTAATCTCTCACTCACCCTCTACCCGTAGCCGACAGGGGGCCCAGAACTGAAGTACTATGTCCCTCTGGTTGGGTGGGGGCTCAGTACGGGAGTATACACCATATAGAAGTAGATGAAGCTTGCCGGGGTAGACTCTGTGATGTGATGTTTATTTCTTCTGATAGGCATGACTGTAACGTTTATCATTCTCTCTTTCTGAACGGAGGTACCGGTGGACGGCGTGGCAGGGCCCCAGACACGCAGGAGTTCTCCGGGATGGCCTTTGAAGGAGCAGTGGACCACCCCGCGAGCTGTAAGAGGTAACCCCCCCCCGAACCGGGCATGAGCGCAACGCCTAGACGCGGCCTGTTTGGGTGGTCTCCTGCCGCAGGCCCTCCTGGACAGCTCATTAGGGCTCCGAACTGTCTTCGGCGCAGGGGCTCTCCATGCTGTTACTGTCGTTGTTAATGTTAATGCTGACCTTCCTTTTTAATTTCCTGTTCTTACTGCTCAGTAGTTGTGCATACACATTTCAGATGTCCCTTTAGAAAAGGGGGTGGCCCTGTTAGTGGCCCACCCTTTATACTGTTACTGACACCCAGGAGATAGCACCTCACACGCTTGAAGACCCTTTGCCTGCAGTGTTTGCCCACTTGCTGGCCATAGCCCACCACTTCCCCCCACATAGGAACTCGGTTCTGCCCGGACCCCCGGAGACCCTAACTTCTCCCTTGGGGTCAGTGGAGAACTGAACGGCTGGTTATCCAGCACACTAGCTGTTTTGCTTCCCCCCTTGTGTCCACCCCACCCTTCCCTCCGTCTCTTGCTTGTACGAGGTACTACCTCTCTTCACACACTCCGCTTCTGTCCTCCCCTTCCCACGTTCCCCTGCTCACCGGACAGCCCTCGCGTCTTGCGGAGATGTCTCGCCTGCGGGTCTTATCCTTGAACGCTAAAGGCCTCAATTTACCGGAAAAACGAACCATGCTCCTCCGGGATCTTCACCGTCAGGGCGTTGACGCAGCGTTCCTTCAAGAAACCCACTTTCGAGTAGATCAAATCCCCGCCTGAGCGACCACTGTTACCCTACGGTTTACCACAGTGGCTCGTCTGACAAACACTCTAGAGGAGTCAGCATCATACTGTCCCGCTCACTCCACTGGACCTTGACTGACCAATATGCTGGGGAAGAGGGCCGGGTACTGTTCGTGAAGGGGACAATTGGGACCCAGATGGTCACCTTCGCAAATTTATACCTGCCCAACCATGACCAAATCTCCTTTCTGATACGTAGCCTGGACCTTTTGGCAGACTTCCGGGTAGGTCTCCTGGTGTTAGGGGGAGACTTTAATTTTGTGCTAGACCCAAATTTAGACTCCTCCGCGTCCTCCTCCCACCTCTCTTTCGCTAAGTTGAACCGCATAAAGAAGTGTCTATTTGACCATCAGTTGATAGATGTCTGGCGCATTCAACACCCCTCCACGAGGGATTACACTTTTTTTTCCAACCTCCACCGCCGCTACACCCGCATAGATTTCTTTTTCATGCACCACAGTCAGCTCCCCCGAGTTACTTCGTCCACCATTGGAAACATAACTTTCTCTGATCATGCTCCCATCCTCCTTGACCTTTCCCTAGATGGCCCCCCTCCAGGCCCCTGGCAGTGGAGGCTGAATGAATCCCTACTTCATGACCCTACTATCTCAGAGACTATAAGTCAGGAGTTGCGATTCTTCTTCCAGGAGAATAGCACCCCAGACGTCCCCCCCTTCACCGTGTGGGAAGCACATAAGGCGGTCATACGGGGCTCCCTTATTGCTCAGGGTGCCAGGCTCAAAAAGGAGCGCCTCGCCAGTGTCACTGACCTCTTGACGCAGATTCGCCACCTTGAATCCCGTCACAAGACCTCGGGGGACCGCGCGTTGGGTTCTCAGCTGTGCTCCCTTAGGGAGCAGCTTAGAACGTTATGCCTCACCAAAGTCAAGTCCTCCCTAATGAAATGCAGACGATCGTTCTATGAGTATGGCAACCAGTGTGGCAAGTACCTGGCACGTGCCTTGCGTACACGACATGCCCGGACGTATATACCACACATAGTAGACGCTCACGGCACCAAATCCGAGTCGCCATCGGCTATAGCCACCGCGTTCAGCGATTATTACGCGTCTCTATATAACCTATC